GTTCTGATGTCACAAGACTAGGCCTATGTTCTGATGTCACAAGACTAGGCCTATGTTCTGATGTCACAAGACTAGGCCTATGTTCTGATGTCACAAGACTAGGCCTATGTTCTGATGTCACAAGACTAGGCCTATGTTCTGATGTCACAAAACTAAGCCTATGTTCTGATGTCACAAGACTAGGCCTATGTTCTGATGTCACAAAACTAAGCCTATGTTATGATGTCACAAGACTAAGCCTATGTTCTGATGTCACAAGACTAAGCCTGTGTTCTGATGTCACAAGACTAAGCCTATGTTCTGATGTCACAAGACTAAGCCCATGTTCTGATGTCACAATACTAGGCCTATGTTCTGATGTCACAATACTAAGCCTATGTTCTGATGTCACAAGACTAAGCCCATGTTCTGATGTCACAAGACTAAGCCCATGTTCTGATGTCACAAGACTAAGCCCATGTTCTGATGTCACAAGACTAAGCCCATGTTCTGATGTCACAAAACTAAGCCCATGTTCTGATGTCACAAGACTAGGCCTATGTTCTGATGTCACAAAACTAAGCCCATGTTCTGATGTCACAAGACTAGGCCTATGTTCTGATGTCACAAAACTAAGCCTGTGTTCTGATGTCACAAGACTAGGCCTATGTTCTGATGTCACAAAACTAAGCCTATGTTATGATGTCACAAGACTAAGCCCATGTTCTGATGTCACAAGACTAGGCCTATGTTCTGATGTCACAAGACTAGGCCTATGTTCTGATGTCACAAGACTAAGCCTATGTTCTGATGTCACAAGACTAGGCCTATGTTCTGATGTCACAAGACTAGGCCTATGTTCTGATGTCACAAGACTAAGCCCATGTTCTGATGTCACAAGACTAGGCCTATGTTCTGATGTCACAAAACTAAGCCTATGTTCTGATGTCACAAGACTAAGCCTATGTTCTGATTTCACAAGACTAGGCCTATGTTCCGACTTCACAAGACTAGGCCTGCAATATTTCCACTTCTCTAGTTAACGATAATTTTACATAGTTCCTGTGGTCACTGGTTCTAATGGATAATTTTCTAATAGAGCGAAGTTAGAAGGTGAAGGACCCGTTTTATTCCTGAATGTCGGGAAGAAGTGATTACAGGCTGCCAGAAATGGATTTATGTGGGAAATATATCGCTGATTGATGACGGCAAATCTTAGACTCTCGGCAATTTAATCTCCAGAAAGTGTGTGTGTTGGGAAGGTAATGTTAGGCTCTCTGGAATTATGTCTTTGGCACTCTGGAATTGAATCCGAGATCAGTAGTTAATATCTCTTGAATAAATAGTCTCCAAGAACGCATTTCTCCAGAAATAACATGAAATTAAATATAAAATGTAAGCCAAAGACGATTGAACCTTGTATTAAATCTAAATGAGAATACATCTTAATGTATTCTACGGAACAATGATTCAGAATATATATTTTCAATAAACAGTGAGGAAAAGTATCCATATAAATACACCACTCTGGTATTTACAAAATACAAATCTTTACAAAAGTCTCTAGTACAATAAATATTTGGATAAATCCCTCGAGCAACTAATCTATCAATACACCTTTGGGAATACATTCGAATAATTCCCTAGGGGCAATAAATCTCTTCAATAATCCCCTGGGGAATAAATCTCTGGCTGTTGTGTACATGTTTTATATGTTAAAGTTTCTCATATAAATTTTGTAAAGTAATTCATTATTTTATTGTCCTAATAATAAAAAGGAACATATAAGATAGGCCTACATCCCCGTGAGCCTACTATACACTACACACACATTACGGTAGGCAGCTATGGCCATTGTTCATCTACTGTATGGTCAACACAGTCTCCTTAAGGAACCCAATCCAGCTTATAATAATGAATTAATCTTAAATGACAAAGTTGTCCAAGAAACATTAAGAGACACACTAGGCTACTAACCAGACGACGAGTCATAATAACGGGGCTGAAGATTTTATAAACACACCACATAACCAGAAAATGACAAAAATTTTCTGAGACGACGTCTCAGTCCATCCTGGATTATTATCTAGTAATTCTGTAGTGTTTAGGTACTCTTAATCATCGTACTAAGATTGGTTTTCTTTTAAAATCATCTTTCCTGCCTCTGCTCTTCACAGACGCCGTCTAGTCGAGTCCGCTCTGATATACAACCTGCCTAACATGAACCTGAGTCCTGGCTGTGTTGCTCTGGACTCTTCCCTTTCACAGTACATACTCAAATGCTCCAACCTTCTTAACAAACGTGATCTGACTTAGTTTTACCCCCGTCTCTCATTCTTATCCTTGTTCTTATTCTTACCTTTCCTACTTATTCTCACCTTTATCCTATTCTTACATATCATACCTCCTTCATATTTTGTTGACTATTACACACTGGGTTCTGTTAGTCAGGAAATTGTAGATCCATCTGCCTATTTTTTCCGGTAATTCCTTTTGAACGCATTTTGTGTGCAATAACACCATGGTCACATTTGTCGAAGGCTTCTGTGAAATCTGTGTAAATTACATCAGCGTTTTGTTTGTCTTCCATAGCATCTAATGCCATGTCATAGTGGTCCAGCAACTGCGACAGGCAAGAGAAACCATGTTCTGTTCTGAAACCATGTTGTCCGGGGTTATGGAGATGCTGTGATTCCATGTATTTTGTGATCTTACTTCTTAGCACTCTCTCACAGATTTATATGATGTGTGATGTTAGTGCTATCGGTCTGTAATTTTTTGCCTCTGCCTTATTTCCTCCTTTATGGAGTGGTGCTATCTCTGCTGTCTTTAGTATGTCATTGATAACGCCAGTATCTAGGCTTTCTCCAAAGAATGTGAATGGCCTGCGATATTTTGTTTTTACAGTTCTTGATGAATATATAGAATTCTAAGAATCAGAGCCTGATGCAGAGTGCATAAGCATACTGTCTTTGGCTTCTTCAAAATCCTTATAATCCATTATTTGATAATAAATGAGCTAAACTAACTAAAATATTGAGTAAATCAAAACTGTGCCAAAGAGTTCCCAGATGTAACCTACAGGAACGCTTGGGTAGTAAACCAAGATAACAGAGCCTACAGTTACACCATATCTCCAACAATTAAATTGCCCGCGTTAACTATATGTAACTATGGCAACCTGTGATGCAAGGTAAGGAGGCAGCTGCAGCCCTCGCCCTCCAGGTGATGCCAAACTTCCATAACCACTATGTATAGACAGCTTGTCTCTTTGAAATAAGTTAAGCAACTTTACAAGCCTTTAACATACCGTCACATGTATGCATAAACAATTCTGACACCATAGAACATTCTTCCAATACTAGATAGCTATCAAAATGGTGTGCTTCTCACTTGATCCCTTTAACTCATAACTACAAATAGGACAACACCCCCCCTTCCTTAATCCAATCACGTGGGATGGACGGTAGAGCAAAGGTTTCTCTTCATGCAGGTCGGCGTTCAATCCCCGACCGTCCACAAGTGGTTGGGCACCATTCCTTCCCCCCGTCCCATCCCAAATCCTCATTCTGATCCCTTCCCAGTGCTATATAGTGGTAATGGCTTGGCGCTTTCCCCGTGACAATTCCTTCCTTCCTCTCCCCCCCCCCTTCAATGTTATCTCACCCTGAACTAACAGCTTTCTGCCTATGGCTGTCCACCAGACATAAGACCATTACTTCAGACTATACACACGTATCCCAGACACAATTTTATTTCCTAACTCTCCAACTCTTTCTTAGCTTACACATATAACAATTACATATTAATAACACCACTCAGATGTTCTTTAAAATGATTATGCAAATTACACACAACTAACTATAGATTTCATTACAGTCTCTATATACTCGGATCACCTATAAATAAGGTTCCAAATGCCCAGCTGGATTTGCATATCCTGTTATGTTGTGCATTTCACCACAGAGATACCAGTCCCCGTGGTGCAGTGGTAAGACACTCGCCTGGCGTTCCGCGAGCGCTTTGTCATGGGTTCGTATCCTGGCCGGGGAGGATTGACTGGGCGCAATTCCTTAACTGTAGCTTCTGTTTAACTCAACAGTAAAAATGTGTACTTGGTTGTAACAACGATTCTTCGCGGCGGGGACCGTATTCCAGGGACCTGCCCGAAACGGTCCGTCTAATTACCACAAGTTACCACAAGCTACACAAGCTTCACAAAGCTTCCCGGCAATTAATAATGAATAAATATGATATGTTAGATTAGGCTGACCTAACCTAACCTAACCTAACCTGACCTAACCGAAGCTTGGATCGTCGACTTGATTTGGCGTCACCAGCTTTTTATTTTCGTCTAATTTCTTTATAAAAAAGATACTTTTTCAGATTAAAATTATGTTTTTTCGTGTTATACATTCAGCACCAACATTATAATGAGTAAATATATCATATTTATTTATTACTAACATATTGCCAGGAAGCTTTGTGAAGCCTGTGTAGCCTGTGGTAGCTTGTGGTAATTAGACGGACCGCGTGGAACCGCCTACCCGCCGAAGCCGTAAATGCCAACTCTCTGTTGAATGTCAAAATTCAATTTGATATAATCATCCAGGATAAAGTAACTTTAACAAGTGGCCGGCATCCTATCCTCGTCAAAGCCACTAGATAGATAGTGACAGTCAGGTAAATTCAGGTAAACTCTAGAATTTTGCCAGAAAAGCTATGCTTGCTAGTGGCTTTACAAGAAGGTAAAATTAACTTAATTTCCATGTTCTCTGTTAAACCCCCAAATATACCTTCTTGTATATAAATAAATAAATACCTAAATAAATAAATAATTATAAGAACGAGTCATATAGTAGTCCCTTAAAAAAAATGTAAACTTGAAAATAAATGTAAACAATATTTTTAAAAAACAAAAAAAAATATATATATTTAATGGGCAGTAAAGTAGCACAGTTTATATAGATATAAATTAATGTTAATATTAATGTAGATGTGTGTTAGAGGAGGAGTGTTGGAGGAGGAAGTGTTGGAGGAGGAGTGTTGGAGTGGCGGCAGTTGTGAAGGGTGAGGGCAGCATGGCGGACCACCACCACCACCAGCTGGGCTTCAGGGAGGTCCTCCCCCACCAGGCAGCCCTCGTCCAGTGGAGGAACATCACCGTCGACACAGGTATATCCCCCCAGCAGGGCCCTGTTACTACCTGTGGTGCTCCCGTACACACCTGTCCTGTGGTGTGAGGCAGGTGTGTACAACCTTCCCTCCCTCACACACCTGGTCTCGTACCCCAGACTTGATGTTATGACCAATATAACACTTAATTCACACCCTATTATCATTAATTATTACCAAATATGCCCCCATATCCTGCTACCTGTGGTGTTACCTCACACACCTGTCCTGTGAGGCAGGTGTGTACAACCTTCCCTCCCTCACACACCTGGTCTCGTACCCCATACCTGATGTTATGGCCAATATAACCCCTAACTCACACCCTATTCCCATCAATTATTACCAAAAAAATGCCCCTATACCCTCCTTACTGCTTGGTGAACAGGGGCATTAGGGTGATGGGAAAAAGTGCCCAACCATTTCTGTCCCCGCCCGGGATTCCCTTAAAGGTTAGGTTAGGTTTTATTGTCCATTGGCAAAGAACTTAGTTAAAAGTTATCTAACTTAGTTAAAGTTAGTTAACTTGTATCCTCTGGGTGTGGCCAGTAACTGGTTAGGTGACCGTGAGGACAGTTTTGTCCGTGGCTAGAGGTTCCTCGACTTGTCTAGACCGGACGGGCTCGATCCCTGTCTCTTGTATACCATACGATACCATTTATGGTATGGTATAATTGGTATACCATACAATACCAGCTACGGTATGGTATAATCGGTATACCATACTATATCATCTATGGTATGGTATAATTGGTATACCATACAATACCAGCTACGGTATGGTATAATCGGTATACCATACTATATCATCTATGGTATGGTATAATTGGTATACCATACAATACCAGCTACAATACCAGCTACAGTATGGTATAATTGGTATACCATACTATATCATCTATGGTATGGTATAATTGGTATACCATACTATATCATCTATGGTATGGTATAATTGGTATACCATACAATACCATCTACGGTATGGTATAATTGGTATACCATACAATACCATCTACGGTATGGTATAATTGGTATACCATACAATACCATCTACGGTATGGTATAATTGGTATACCATACAATACCATCTACGGTATGGTATAATTGGTATACCATACAATATCAGCTACGGTATGGTATAATTGGTATACCATACAATACCATCTACGGTATGGTATAGTTGGTATACCATACAATACCATCTACGGTATGGTATAATTGGTATACCATACAATACCATCTACGGTATGGTATAATTGGTATACCATACAATACCATCTACGGTATGGTATAGTTGGTATACCATACAATACCATCTACGGTATGGTATAATTGGTATACCATACAATACCATCCACAGCTTCATGCCAAATTTAAGTTCAAAAGCTATTTATAAATGGTTGCCAACTAACTCAATTATAACAGTACGTCATAATACCCTGTAATGGCATAACAATCATAATTATATACTATGATCTAGATTTCAATTATAACATTCCTTAAATGTTAACTGCAATGTCCAATGACAATCATTGGATATACGTATTTGGATATAATATAAGGTAGTTGTAGTGTATTACACCGTACTCGGCCATCTCGGGCAGGTTATCTTGAGGTTATCTTGAGATGATTTCGGGGCTTTAGTGTCCCCGCGGCCCGGTCCTCGACCAGGCCTCCACCCCCAGGAAGCAGCCCGTGACAGCTGACTAACACCCAGGTACCTATTTTACTGCTAGGTAACAGGGGCATAGGGTGAAAGAAACTCTGCCCATTGTTTCTCGCCGGCGCCTGGGATCGAACCCGGGACCACAGGATCACAAGTCCAGTGTGCTGTCCGCTCGGCCGACCGGCTTAGCCGCTCGGCGACCGGACAATGGGCATTTCATTCTTAATTCTGATTTATAAAAAAAAGGATTGCACGATGCTTTGATTTCCCAAACTTAATGACAGAGTACAGTGGATCACAACAGTACGTTGTGCTGAAAATTGAGACGAGTTTTCTTTAGTTCAGGATATTTTCTGGATACGTCAGATATGCACGTACCCTGAACTGACTTCCTTGGGAATCGCAACACTTTATATAGCTGCACTTTTCTTGCTCTCGATTCTGGTAGAAATTTTTAGAATATTCAAGTTGTCTAGAATTTTTCTTGAGCCTTGTATCACCCCAGGCCCACCTTGGGGTGGGCTGTGGTGCATGTACCGGGTGCACGAAAGTGTTAATGACCGGATTCCCAATTACTGCTGGGTGAATGGGGGCAAACAGTTAAGAATTAGCAGCCAGTCAATCCTCCCTGGCCAGGATTCGATCCAAGATGAAATCACTTGCAAGACGCTGAGCAGTTGTTACCAATAGACCACCAGGGACTGTGCTGTAGCTGCCTCTAACCCAATAACAATAATAAAAAATAGCAGTTTTTGCAATTTTTAATGATGAATTTTGTCTGTTGGACCGATATCACTTAGCGTACTGTACTACTGTACATCTGAGATGGTCTTTGCTATCCTACGCTGTTGACAGACCATATCTATCGACTCTTCCATTCCACTTATTTGCTTATAATGTTGCTTAGCGAATATTGCTTCTCTTGAATAAATAAATATATTTTTCTCACCAGGAGCAGCACAGAGCACACTACAGGATATCAAAGTTCCTGAATATGGAGGAGGGTATTCCTTCAAGCCACTCTCACCCGTCACATGTAATCGCTATCTCTTTTGGTGAGTTGACAATGAATTTCCAAATGGAGTTGACTTGACATGTACTGTATTTATGAGGTGTAACAATCCTTATATGCCTTCCTTGTCTAGTTTAGGGAAGGTTGGTTGGTTGATAATGTGAGTCGTACCATGTGTGTGTTTTTACTGTTATTAATTTTATATTAATCTAGCCAGTAGCATTGGTTTCTGTACAAAAATGTGATTTAAAAGAATTTAATTTCGTTAGAGGTGAGAGCTATATACATACTGTATGCTGTTGTAATCCACAGGTAATGAGTGAATATTAGATAGTGAATCAAGCACTACAATACTTAACATGTACTACTTGTAACCTACAGTAGTCTGCAAAGGAAATATTTAATGACTTAATTTGAAGATATTAACTGCGATAACCTGAAATGTAAGAGAAACTGTTGTTCCAGGCGCGTATGTCACGATGTTGTGGAGCTGTGGGAGGAGAGCCTCGACCATGACTTCACGCACAACCATGTTCAGCTCAGGTATTGTGCAAGTCTAGTGACACAAAGTTGTGTGTATTGTTATGTCTAAACCCACAGTCTATCTTTTAATCAAACTTTTTCCAGCCTCTCTGCACGAGTGCATCCTTGGACCATGAAAGTGTGGAGTTTTGTTTTGATGTTTGCCAGTACGTTATGGACCTTGCATTCCTCGAAGCTCATCATGGCACAAATGGTCCACAAATATTTAAGTTTAGGGTGGCACTTTGTGGCATTTACACAGCTAGTCTCAAATTTCAGTTGAAAGTGTGCTTTAGGATGACCCACAGTGGGAGTAATGCCTAGACAATTGGCAATGTCAGGTTCTAGGTCTAACTACCATTCTTGTCTAGAGGTTGTGTAGGGTCTTTATTGGGCTTTGGGTCATCAACATTGATAACCCAAAGCCCATGTTCCTCTTCAAAGATTACGTCTTGAATTTCATCCTCTAATGTTTCAACCACACGACCCACGGGAGACTAGGCGCTAGAAGTGTGTGAGTCGGCCATGGCTGCTCACTGGAAACTAAGCCTACTGGCGACTGTGGTTGCAACCACGCGACCCCAAACTAAAATTTACTACAGCAAGACTTCCTAAAATGATGATAAAGGCGTCGCACAACATCTGGCCGCCTTGTGAATGGTGCAACCACAGAATGGGACAAAACCTGTATGTTTATACCGTGGAGACAGATGGCTTGGAAATAGGATGCGAGTTTCACTTTCTTAATACTAAAACAGTTGTCAGTGTTGCATTTTTATTTGGTATTGCTCAGCATAATAAAGTTGTATGCAAGTGAAAATATACAACTCGGCCTAGAAGTTGGTCATTTATTTATTTCATTATTTTTTTAAGGCGAGCCCTGGGTTTCGTGTGCCAGACAAAAGTTGTTTGTAGGCCAAGGGTTGCCCACCCCAGGGCTGTGGGGCCTTGTGTATCTTCTCAAGATCAGCATAGAAACTAGCTGCAAGGAGCTATTAAAGGAGGAGGAGGCCCCTCCCAGAAATTACTAAGATTCAGAATTTTTTGCATATCTTGAGTGAATGTCTCGATTTTGGAGGTTGCACTTATTAGTCAACTTGGGGAATCTGTCTTGTCTTTTATTTTGGCTAATATTTTGTTCGATTATATTTCCTTTTAAAAAGAATTTGCTTCTCGGTTAGGTCAAGTGGCAGTAAAAATTACGGTATGTTGGCATTTTCATTAAACAAATTTTTTGAGATATTACTTCCTAAGGCCAATAAAAAATGTTTACATTTGCAGATTTGCTGACACACCTGTGCTGGAAGGGCTGAGTGTTCACGAGACTCGTCAGTATGTTTATATTCTGTTGGCAACCGTGTCCTCTGTTCATCGTATTCGGCTCCCTCACCCACAGACTGCACAGGTTCGTAGTCACCCTTCGTGAGAGAGACGTATTAGCATGCTGCATTTGTGAACTGGGTTTGATATAGGTTGATGTGACTAGATTCTATACATTGGTTATCAATTATCATTTCCTATACTTTGCACAAAATACGTACAAGATTGGTCTGTAATTTAGAGCAGGGCACCAGACAGCTGGGTGGACAGCGCTCCGGATTCATGGTCCTGAGGTTCTGGTTTGATCCCCGGTGGAGGCGGAGACAAATGGGCAAAATGTTTTTTACCCCTGATGCCCCTGTTACCTAGCAGTAAATAGGTACCTGGGAGTTAGACAACTGCTACAGGCTGCTTCCTTGGGGGTGGGTAACAAAAAAGAGGCCTTGGCAGGGACGCCAAGCCCCGAAATCATCTCAAGATAGCCTCAAGATAACCATCCTCTGTATAAAAAAAAAAAAAAAAAAAAAAATTAAGATTGGCATTACTGTACAGCAGAATTTTTCCAGATTTCTGGGAGAGCCAGTCTGATGTTTTACTGAAGATTTTGGTTAATAGTTAATAAAGTATTTTGTATTATTAAGTAAAGTAGCCCCTTTAACAGCCATGGTTACATGTTACATCAGGTGTCTTTAACTTCCTCCTCAGTGACTAGTATACTGCCCAGCATTGTCCTGTCATTCCCTTTTGATGGTTTTTTCTTTGGTTTAGTTTTGTAATCTTGCTGAAATCTCAGGTAGAGTTACAGACACCGCCACCACCACAGCCTCTTTCCCCGAGAATGATCCCTCGTCTCCTCGGCCTTACACCACCACCACCACCACCACCGCCTCTTTCCTAAAGAATGATCCCTCGTCTCCTCGGCCTTACACCACCACCACCACCACTGCCTCTTTCCCCGAGAATGATCCCTCGTCTCCTCGGCCTTACACCACCACCACCGCCTCCTCTTTCCCCGAGAATGATCCCTCGTCTCCTCTGCCTTACACCACCACCACCACTGCCTCTTTCCCCGAGAAAGATCGCTCGTCTCCTCGGCCTTACACCACCACCACCACCTCTTTCCCCGAGAATGATCCCTCGTCTCCTCGGCCTTACACTACCACCACCTCTCTGAGTATGATTCCATGTCTCCTCAGCCTGATTATTGATCTTTTACCATTATTTATGGCCTTGTGAAGGCTGTACAATGGCTTTGTCTGGTTGTTCGTTTTGCTGATGTGATGTTTTAAAGTTGTTTTTCATTTGTTATACTCCTTTGTCTCGCTTTAATGCATCTCTGTTGTCCTCCGTGATCAGAGATGTAATTTGTTTTCTAGTCCTACCTCTTTCTTCCATGGCATGGCAATGCCATGCAATTCTTTCATGCTTGAACCAAGGGCTACTCAATTTGATGGCTTGCAAAAAATCCTTGTTTCAGTAAAAATGATGGTAGGCTCTAGAGGATATGATAATGCTTGGCACCAGCAAGTATCTATTAGTCACCAGGGAAGTCTGTCCTTCTGCTAGGCTGAGATAGTATAATTCTTAAGTGGCCAAAGGTAAAGGAAAATGTGTATATAATATTTTTAATTTGTTCAAGGTATGAAGTAAATTGAAGCTGTGTCCATTATTTAATGTTTACCACATTGCAGGCAACTAGAAGTAAACCACAGTCAATCCTGAGGGACCTGACATTCCAGACTCTGAAAGAGTACCACAACCTCCACATCTTGAACAGTACTGCAGCAGGTGAGGGACTACTGTACTAGTTATTGGGGCTCTCTTGCTCGCTTCAGTGTTGTGACATTCAAACTGAAGGTGCCTGATAGGTATAGCTTCACTGTAACTCTCTAATTTGGTTTGAAATTGGATGCCTATATGAAATTTGTCCTCTCAAAGAATACGCAGTTCTTGATAGATTAAAGATCACAGGTGTCAGAAAAATATAAGGTTGGTTGTCTATCTATTACGATGGCTGTGCTGTGGAAGACGACAATAATGTACAGTATTCTTTTCTTGGCTCGATGAAAGATACGGCAGCTGAGAATCTACTGCAGTGCATGTATTATAGGGAGCACATGTATTATAGGGAGCACATGTATTATAGGGAGCACATGTATTATAGGGAGCACATGTATTATAGGGAGCACATGTATTATAGGGAGCACATGTATTATAGGGAGCACATGTATTATAGGGAGCACATGTATTATAGGGAGCACATGTATTATAGGGAGCACATCTACAAATTATTGAAAGCAGGGAGAAGAAAGAGAGGAAGACTAAGCTATGTAGTATTCACTCAGTATGAGGAGCTCTGGTTTAGAGTCTGGTTGGTGTGGAAAGTGGTGACTTGAGGCTTGCTGAGCCTGGCACTAGCTAAACTGGAGGCTGCTGAGCCTGGCACTAGCTAAACTGGAGGCTGCTGAGCCTGGCACTAGCTAAACTGGAGGCTGCTGAGCCTGGCACTAGCTAAACTGGAGGCTGCTGAGCCTGGCACTAGCTAAACTGGAGGCTGCTGAGCCTGGCACTAGCTAAACTGGAGGCTGCTGAGCCTGGCACTAGCTAAACTGGAGGCTGCTGAGCCTGGCACTAGCTAAACTGGAGGCTGGTGAGCCTGGCACTAGCTAAACTGGAGGCTGCTGAGCCTGGCACTAGCTAAACTGGAGGCTGCTGAGCCTGGCACTAGCTAAACTGGAGGCTGCTGTTAGGTTTATTCTGGCATCGGCACCCCTCACACGGCATAGTCTGGGAGCCGGTAAACGGCCACTGACCTTGATCATCAGAGAGTCGTAAATTAAGTCTCAAATATTAAAATACAATTTAATGAAGCAGATTAAAAATTGAGAATATATTAGGAAACGATTAAGAAAAATTCTTTATCAATTGTCTGTGCATCACTTACTTGGAAAGCAGTACTGGAATGATGCTTTGCATACAGCCTTCGGCCATTTCTGTGGGTAAGAAGGCTGCACAGCTTTTCAGGTAGAGGCAAGTTATCTTGAGGTTATCTTGAGATGATTTCGGGGCTTTAGTGTCCCCGCTGCCCGGTCCTCGACCAGGCCTCCACTCCTCGAATCCTTTGTTGTTGTTTCTCAAGTACTGTTCAATACAGAGGTCACACATCTCTGTATGTACAGTACAGTGCTATACTGTAGGAGTTTTTTTTATTATATATGAAGCTATTGTGTTTTATTGCTAATTAAAATCCTCCACACACACACACACACATTCCTATAGCGTTATACATATGCTATAGGAATGTGTATAGAGGATTTTAGTTAAATTAAAAAAAAATGGTTCAAATAACAGGCATTATTACCAAGGGATATAATATTGTCAATGCATCCTTTTTGTCTTCATTTTTATTGCATTTCTAATAAGAAAAATCATGCACTTTCCCATGTATGCCATGTAATATTCATTAAAAATACTTTTTAGATAGCAAAGAAATTGAATCATGTAACATAACTATTGTGCAAGACTTGTTCAAAGTATGTCAAATATAACTACAGCAGCTGGTACAGTATAGACAGTCTACAGTACTCTCATCTTTGTAGAAAAAAATGGTTCTGAATCTTGCACTTTGCACTCCTTGTATTTCAGTAGGTGAAGGTTTACCGCACACAGCAGGGACACATCTTAAGAAGGGCGGAGATGCAGTGTTTGTGTTGGGCCAGACCGGTGGTACGTTGCTGGTCGTCAAGATGATTGACTCGCCATTTTCGGTGTTCACTGAAATCATCAAAAATGCTTCTCTAATGAACAGACTGTTTACTGGCTTTGTTCCTGGGAGGTTCAGGTTAGTGTGACGTATGTGTACAAGTATTGCATGTTGATCTCGGTTTGTTATTGTCTTGCTCTACTGTGTGTGGATGAACTGTGCTGCTGCTGTTAGGACTTTAAAATTTCTCTCTTCATAAAGTGTAAGAATGTTTTGTAAGTGCTTATGAACTGTTAGCAGATTTTATGCATTTATTTTAAAAAAATTAGGCTAATGGAAGCTTTTTGTTTGGAATGTTTTTATCAAATGCCGAGGCAGAAAATTTTAGATAGGGGTAAGGGACTTTGGGGAAGTTAAAGTTTAGGAACCCCTTAACAAAGGGTTTGTGTGTGTTGATGTTACTGTTAAGGGAGTTTCTTGTTTGCTTAATGAATTATTCTCGTAGCAAGGGAAGTTGGCAGTGCTGTAGTAATATGGCTGGAGATCGCTGGTGTTATGACAATTCAAGTCGACAACGGTGGCTTTTTCCTAGGATAACCGAGGTGTGTGACCTTGTTGTGAGGGTCCTGTCGGACTGTCATCTTCATTGTTAACTATGCTACTTCGTCTTTGTTAGGTATTGTGGTGTTTATCCTCTAGTTGTGTAGAGAGGTTCCTGGACTTTGTAGTTATAGTGGCGTTTCACTGTATGTTGTTGTTTAAGATTTGCTACCTGGAACAAAAAGTTCCAAGTAGCACGGGCTATGGCGAGCCCGTACATAATTCACTGTATGGATGTACATTACCTTCGTTCCCATGAGCTGATTTTTGGAGAAAAAGTGGAAGCAATTATTCAGGGTCATGAACAATTGGTGTGTTCATATTGTCATTTTAGGGGACATTTTGGTGTAATGGGAAAAGCCATATTTTGGATTCTAATTTCTGTATATCTGACTGTTTTAAGAGTAAATGAGGTGATTGTTTATTTTTGTTTTAAGAGTAAATGAGGTGATTGTTTATTTTTGTTTTAAGAGTAAATGAGGTGATGGTCTTTTTGCAGAGTAAATGTATAGCTTTGTAAATGTGATTGTGTATTCTATGCTGGTGACTTGCAGAAGTGTAGCTTTGTGTGTATTGATGCTAACACGAATGTGATCAGATGGGTTAGGTTACTTTTGGCCATCCTTACTTTCTCACATACTAGGTAGAGTTTATCACCCTTGCTATTTATTACACATGCCATTATTGGTACTGTTTTGATTGCAATGAACTCCCCTCTTTTTATCCCCCCATCTTTATCATATGTGTAATCTGCTTGATACCTGCTTAATGGGGCTCTGGGAGTTCTACTGCCCAAGCCCGGCCCGAGGCCAGGCTTGACTTGTGAGAGTTTGGTCCACCAGGCTGTTGCTTGGAGCGGCCCGCAGGCCCACATATACCTGGTTGATGGGGTTCTGGGAGTTCTTCTACTGCCCAAGCCCGGCCCGAGGCCAGGCTTGACTTGTGAGAGTTTGGTCCACCAGGCTGTTGCTTGGAGCGGCCCGCAGGCCCACATATACCTGGTTGATGGGTTCTGGGAGTTCTTCTACTGCCCAAGCCCGGCCCGAGGCCAGGCTTGACTTGTGAGAGTTTGGTCCACCAGGCTGTTGCTTGGAGCGGCCCGCAGGCCCACATATACCTGGTTGATGGGGTTCTGGGAGTTCTTCTACTGCCCAAGCCCGGCCCGAGGCCAGGCTTGACTTGTGAGAGTTTGGTCCACCAGCTGTTGCTTGGAGCGCCCGCAGGCCCACATATACCTGGTTGATGGGGTTCTGGGAGTTCTTCTACTGCCCAAGCCCGACCCGAGGCCAGGCTTGACTTGTGAGAGTTTGGTCCACCAGGCTGTTGCTTGGAGCGGCCCGCAGGCCCACATACCAATCACAGCCCGGTTGGTCCGGAATTTCTTTACAATCTATTGTGCTGATTTGGATTTTGTCAGGGCTAGTGGCAATTATCCCTTTGTTCCATATGGCTGTTAATAATATTTTTTCGTTTGCTTGAGATGTATTTGGTAGTTTCAGGGTTTGGTTTTGCTATGACATGGATTATGTTGGTAATACACTGATTGACAATGGTATCATTGTATAGTAGTTGTGGAATGTTGCTTATGAAGAAATGAAAGTACAATGGACATAGACAGGAGCTCTATAGCACCTTGGATGCTAGGTTGAATGCATAGCTATATTTAATTCTTTAATATTTCACCATGCGTGTATTTAATAGCAAATACATTATTGAAATTGGAAAGCGTATTATAGGCTCCTCCCACAATGACTTTTATGTGGTCCCCTGGTAATGTTCAACTATCCAGAACTGTCCTTAGATCTCTCTTCTTTGTCAGAGTTCTTTAACCCTTAGGCAGTGGTTATCGTCATTTGTTGATTCATGGGGTAATGTGGTCATCGTCGTATGACGATTTGAACAATTACTGTCTGGGTTTTACATGTATGATGCAAATATGGATATAATGGCTCTCTGTGGATGTAATGTAGTTTACCTTGACCCCATCTTGAGGTTATCTTGAGATGATTTCGGGGCTTTAGTGTCCCCGCGGCCCAGTCCTCGACCAGGCCTCCACCCCCAGGAAGCAGCCCGTGACAGCTGACTAACACCCAGGTACCTATTTTACTGCTAGGTAACAGGGTCATAGGGTGAAAGACACTCTGCCCATTGTTTCTCGCTGGCGCCCGGGATCGAACCCAGAACCACTGGATCACAAGTCCAGCGTGCTGTCCGCTCGGCCGATTGACTCCCATGAACAAAATCCTGCTACCATTTCACGGTTATGTGTACTGTACTAAGAGGTGCCTGCCATCATATGTATTCACCGAGTTGTATTCACCTAGTTGTGCCTTGTGGGGGTTGAGCTCTGTTCATTCGGCCTGCCTCTCAACTGTCAATTGATCAACTGTAACTAACTACTTTCTTTTTCCCACACACACACACCCCAGGAAGCAGCCCTAGCAGCTGTCTAACTCTCAGGTACCTAGGGTACCTGGGTGTTAGACGGTACCTAACTCCCAGGTATACTCCCAGGTTACAGGATGAGAGCTACGCTCGTGGTGTCCCGTCTTCCCGGCACTCTGTCATATAACGCTTTGAAACTACTGATGGTCTTAGCCTCCACCATCTTCTCACCTAACTTGTTCCAACTGTCTACCACTCTGTTTGCGAAAGTGAATTTTTTTATATTTCTTTGGCATCTGTTTAGTTAGTTTAAATCTGACCTCTTGTTCTTGAAGTTCCAGGTCTCAGGAAATCTTCTCTATCAATTTTATCAATTCCTGTTATTATTTTGTACGTAGTGATCATATCGCCACCTTTTTTCTGTCATCTAGTTTTGGGATATTTATGTGCCACATTGGAGGCTGAGGCCTTTCTTTCACTATACTCTCACCCATATGGTGCCAATTAGGCCATATGTCATCACCCAGAGCTCAACACCATTGCATATTATTTATATTATATATTATATTTTACTACTCTATGGTTGTAATGGAGTATACCAGGCAAACCAATCAATTGAAACATGTGTTATTGAGACAATTGTGTTAGGTGAATGATGCGAGTTATCACGTTATTCAACACACTCGTGTAAATAAAGAGAAATGAGTGATAAACAATTGGTGAAACATCTGAGGATAACACAGGGAGCGTCAGCAGAGTTGAAATTGAAATCGGTTTATTGATGTATAAATACACACAAAAGGGATGAGCTAGCTGAAGCTATTCTCGCCCCGTTGGGCACCGGGTGTTGACAGGCGCCAGACACATCACTACACACCCTTCCTGAGCGCCTCCACCCAGTGAAATAATAAATACTCACTTATTTTTATGTTTTTATTACAGTACATTTTGCATACAAATTTATAATTCTTTAAAAATCTTTAAAAATTATTTATGAAGATGTATTTGGTTGTAAGATTTATAAAAAAATTTTCATTAAAAATGAAAAATAATTGTATTTTTTTGTGCATAAGAAGGTATGACTGCCACTGAAGGGTTAATGCCTTGCCACATAAATTTGTAGGTTGTGTGTGGCTTATTTTCTCCTATTCCACATTTCATAACATGGCATTTATTCACAGTGAATTCCATTTCCCAAGAGTTTCTCCATACACTTACTTTGTCTAGGTCATCTTGAAGGGCATGCCGATGGTCTGTCTCTTATCTTCCCTAGAAGCGTAGGATCATCAGCAAACTTGTTCACGTAATTCTGTGTTCCTTCTGGTAGATCATTGATATAAACTGACCAGTACTCATACAAGAACTCGCCGGTCGGCCGAGCGGACAGCACACTGGACTTGTGATCCTGTGGGCCTGGGTTCGATCCCAGGCGCCAGCGAGAAACAATGGGCAAAGTTTCTTTCACCCTATGCCCCTGTTACCTAGCAGTAAAATAGGTACCTGGGTGTTAGTCAGCTGTCACGGGCTGCTTCCTGGGGGTGGAGGCCTGGTCGAGGACCGGGCCGCGGGACACTAAAGCCCCGAAATCATCTCAAGATAACCAAGATAACTGAACCCTGTGGCACTCTGCTAGTAACCCTTTTCCAGTCTGATACACTGCCCTCATTCTTCTGGCAGTTAGAAAATGTTAGTTATTAAGGTTGATGGTTGGAATGATTGACTAAATATTGTATCCACAGCAGAGGTCTTGAGGGCTGCGAGACGGTGACAAGCCTCGTGATAAAGGAACTAGCAGGAGATGTGCTGGCGGTGGGGGTGTGCCGTGATGGTAAAGTTCGGGCGTGGTCATGCTCACGCCTTCAGTGTGTACTTGCACATGACACGCTCGAGAACACGGCCGAGGCTGGACGGAAGTTAAATCCTGGAGGTAAGTTTGAACACGATGATAAAGTATTGATTTAGAAGGATTTGACTTAGTTGGACAATACTTTTAATTATGGATGTATTACTAAAAAGACTTGCTGCAGCACAGTACTGCTCTCAAATGTAGGGCGAGTATAGTGATTGAATACTCCCCATTAATAATGAGTGATCATGAATACTTCCCATCAGTAATGGTACATCGCCCATCAGTAATGATGTACAGTGATGTGGAAAGATTGTGCTTGCTTCACATGTGAATATTCAAAGCCTGACAAGTGTTGTTGACTTCTTCAGCTCAGCGGCACCAAATCCGCAGCTGTGGGCAGGGAGAGGAGACCATCCTGGGCGTCTTCCTCAACTTCACCGAGAAACATTTGCTCATTGTTTACCAGCCTACACTGAACCTTGGTCAGATAACACTCAGCCACATCAAGACCCTTTACCCACCGCAGGTGAGGGGTGACTATAGTATTATATATATACACCTACGTGCTTTACACTACTACTGGAGTGTGTTAAAATACTGAATATTTGCACCGTGTCCCCATGTGATGTACACTCCTATTGCTTTGTCAGTTTTATTTTTTTTTCCACCCATAATTGAGGGAAGATGTAGTACTGTGTTTTCCAATCATTGTGCTGTCTTGCCCATAATTGTTGGAAGATGTATACGGTATAAATACTGTTTTGCCTATAATTTGTCTGTGCAAAATTTGATGTAGCATCATTGGTGTCGTAAATCATGCCACTGACTCCACTGTTACCTTGCCAGAAGACTCATTTTGTTTAATGTGAATGTAGAATAAAGTAATTGATCTGGGCAGCAGTGTGACACTCCATCTTGTCATGGCCTCTGTAGAGCCTTCAAAAAAATCAAAATGTAGAATGTTTAAACAAATATTTAACTGGCCATTACAGGTCATAAAATTTGTAACTAGCAAAGATAAACTGAAAATTCCATTCACCTGGGGCCAGATTCACGAAGCGTTACGCAAGCACTTACGAACCTGTCCATCTTTTCTCAATCTTTGGCGGCTTTGTTTACAATTATTAAACAGTTAATGAGCTCCGAAGCACCAGGAGGCTGTTTATAACAATAACAACATTTGATTGGCAAGTTTTCATGCCTGTAAACTGTTTAATAAATGTAACCAAAACCGTCAAAGATTGAGGAAAGATGTACACGTTCGTAAGTACTTGCATAACTGCTTCGTGAATCTCGCCCCTGGGCTGGGCGGTAGAGCGACGGTCTCGCTTCATGCAGGTCGGCATTCAATCCCCGACCGTCCACCACAAGTGGTTGGGCACCATTCCTTCCCCCCGTCCCATCCCAGATCCTTATCCTGACCCCTTCCTGTTCCTGTGGAATGGAACAGTATTACACTAACAAGTCATCCAAGTATAGTACATTAATTTGGTAATGTTAACAGTATCACTCACTTTCGACACTGATCACGTCCATTTTTTTTCTTGTCCAATCCTTGGACAGGACTCACATCCACTACAAAAATATTTGTATAAAATTCATATTTTATCCGATCAACCTCGTGATAGTTTCAAAATAAGCCTCTTTAGAATGCGCACAATTTGATACCAAAATGAAAGATGAAACACGAAACTTGATGTCGGAACACTTGAAAGATTATAAATACGTTTTTGGGTCTAAATTTTAAATTTTAAAATATTTGTTAAAATTCTACTGTGCTATTATGGGACTAGTTTTACAATGCGCGCCTTTATATTGCGAACAATTTGATACCAAAACGAGCGATGTAACATGAAAATTGATGTTATCAAACTGAACGAGTATACACATTAGGTTGTGGTGTGCAAATTGGTGCCCGTTCACGGGTAATTTTAGGCTTTCCTGCAGGGAGTTTCGCCAGGCTTTTGGACATTATATGCATGTACATCTGCAGGGAATTTAATTGCGAACACAATGATACCAAAAGGAACGACGTAGCAAGAGAATTAAGGTGAGAAAACTGAAAAGAGTATACTGTACACATTTAGTGTTGCCTCACGCTCGCCCGCACCATTAGCCCCATGATGTCAAAGTCTGCGATGCTCACATGGCGCGGGCGATAGTGTTAATACATCGCTGTTTTGCCTTATAATGCTGTCATTAGGCATCACAAGTCGAGCTTGGCCCTGGGCCGGGCTTCCAAGAGTAGAACAAATCCCAGCACCACATCCAGCAGGCGTCCAGCTGCTCTCATGGATATATTCCCTGTCTTGTCTAAATCATGGCAGTCATTTGGCACCACTGTTATCACTATGTATAATTGTGTATTATACACTGCCATTGTAGGACTGTTTGAACTGTTTGTGTAATCATTGTGTGGTTTTCTCAACAATGCTTGACTGGAGAATGTTCTCATTTAGAGGTGTATAGATTTTGTTAGGTTCATAAGCATATTTGACGATCTTAACACATGAAAGTGGTGAAGACTTGAAACCAATTATAGAAAACTTTGCTGTACCTGTCTTCAGCTAAAAGTGACTATTGCACACAAGCTACTCAACGTATTCTAAAACTTAAAAGCTGATCATTTCTTATTTGCACTATTTATACAGAGTTTTATTTAAAATTGTCTATTAGGCATACAATAAGCATTTCTTAAGCAATTTTCTTTTCACAGGTAACTGGGTTAGATGATGGGAATTAAGACTTGGTGCTTACTTTCTTTTCAGTACGACCTTGTGGACTTCAGCCTCACGTCGTGGTACATTTGGACTTTGTGGACAGATGCGAATAACGAGACACAGGTGAGTTGATGAAACACACGGTATTCATTTTAATGACTTGTTCTGCTTAGACGTAATCTATCTACTGTAAAGCCCGGATGCCTTATGTCCCCCCCGGGAGCTTGAGATCAAGGAGCGTTCACAGTAGAATTTTCTCCAGGAGGTTCATGTTGCTACTCTAATCTTTTTCTTTTAAGTTGTAACTACAGTACTACTACCACCCTTTCTTCCGTATAATATTTTATTCTTCCCTTTCAAGGCAGCGACCGTCCGAGACCCCTCATTTAGCCTTTCTTGTTAAACAATTTTTCAGGCATCCTTACAACATGTCATTACAGTACCTGTGTGTTGCACATCAACACATCTATGTTGATGTGCACACGGCCTTCGTCTGTGTTGCACATCGTCTCCTCCACTCCACACTTCCTTTCCTCACCTTTTCTGTTGGGAGCCCCTCCAGCTCCCTGGAGCTATCAGGCTCATATGTTATATTAGTCTGGGGGCCATCAGTCAATTGGAGTTCAGCCTACCGGAGACCATGAGCCAGAACCTGGCCCCCTCAGAGAGGCAGAGGGAACAATGGTCTGTGGACACCCCCATGTATTTGGAGGCATTCCATGTCTGCCATCGACCAGGGTTGGCACCCAGAAAGGTAAGCAATACTAAAACAGACCACACATGGTAAGAAAATTACAACCAAAGACCGAACAGAGAGGCAGAACTTCCCTTACTTAAAGAAACGAGCAAGCGCCACACTCTGCCACTGCGCCGCTTGTCCGTGCAGCCCTCCCCCTCCCCGGGAGGGGGGAGCCCCAGACCCCTTGCTCAAGCTCCTCAACAACTTCAGCCCATTGCCTGATGTGGTCTTGCTTGTTTCTTTAGGTAAGGGGAGTTCTGCCTCTGTTCAGTTTTTGGTTGCAATTTTCTTACCATGTGGGATCTGTTTTGTTATGCCTACCTTTCTGGGTGCCAACCCCGGTCAATGGCAGACATGGAATGCATTCAAATACTTGAGGGTTTCCATAGGCTATTGCTCCCTTTGCCTCTCTGAGGGGGCCAGATTCTTGCTCATGGTAGGCTGAACCCCAATTGTTTAATGCCCCAGACTAACATAACACACATCAGCCTAATAACTCCAGGGAGCCTCCGGGGTTCACCCAGAAAATGGTGTTTCATTACATTCAGTGCTGGCTTTTTACTTGTACTACATCTCTCATTCTTTGTCAATGCTATACTCATTCCTCATATTTTACAGTTGCTTTCTCTCAAGAGGTAATTTCCAGTGCTTGTTCTTTTTGAGCACTTTCCCCTTTCCATACCCAACATTCACTACCATGAGTGATATGTTTTTTTTACCCCTCTTAACAAGTTTCTACCTGTGCTTCCCATTCTTTTTTTCTCATTTGGATGCTGTGTGTGTGTCTTTTCACACCTATTTTTCCTCTTTATCTTTAATGTTGTGATCCTCCTCTGGACGTCATGTTTCCGTCTAGTACCTCTATTGAAAAATAGTCATTCCCACACAAAAATAAAAAATTCCCCAAAAATATTTTTTCTTCTAATAGAACTATTAATTTGAATGCCAAATGGAAGACAAACTGATAAAAGTATATAAATAGAGGCATTTTTACTGGTTGGAAGAGTTGTGACAGGTTGCATGACAGTCACCGCCACAGAAAGTGGCGGTGTGTGGTGGTGGCATCTGTTCACACTTGATAATAACCTTCCTGACACTGTTGTTTATAAGATACAACTCCAGTGTTCACCTTGCTTGTTTCTTTGATCACATACTATTTGTTTTCATATATTTACGATAGTATCAATGTTGAATAACTTGATTTACGAGCTTATAATTCACAAAAACTGAGATGGAATACTCTCTAAAACGGATTGGCCTTCAATAGCACCTTTATTATTATGTTCAATTGATTGGTTGACCTGATGTACTTTATTACAACTATACGAGTTGAAAACACCATATGAACATGAACCTCCCTGGTATTCATATCATGTAATTATACAGTGATGACCACATTTGCCTGCTAATATTGGTGATAACTGCGTTCACATAGTAATGCAACCGTGGCACGATAGCAGGATGTTTGTGTCAAGGTAAACACAATATCTTTTAACAACACCTGGCTATCGTTTCCTATCTTGAGATGAAAAAAAAAAAGTGTTATCTTGAGATGATTTCGGGGCTTTTTAGTGTCCCCGCGGCCCGGTCCTCGACCAGGCCTCCACCCCCCAGGAAGCAGCCCATGACAGCTGACTAACACCCAGGTACCTATTTTACTGCTAGGTAACAGGGGCATAGGGTGAAAGAAACTCTGCCCATTGTTTCTCGCCGGCGCCTGGGATCGAACCCAGGACCACAGGATCACAAATCCAGCGTGCTGTCCGCTCGGCCGACCGGCTCCTAACAACACCTGGCTATCGTCTCCCAGCCACACCTGGCTATCGTCTCCCAGCCAAACCTGGCTATTGTCTCGCATCCACTTAGCTGTTATATCCTTATTTCTATCATACATGTAAAATCCATTAATAATAACTTAAATCGTCATCTGATGATAACTGCATTACCTCCCTGCATCAACGTGTGATGATAGCCTCACTAAGGTTTTAAGTTGGTCTTCCCTAATCTGTCCTTGTATCTTAGGCTATGTGTCTTGTGGTGAATAATTGATTTTATTTCTAATATCATTGCAACTCTTTTTGCCATCAAGCTTCATCTTCCCTGGGGGTAATAGCAGGGGTAATGGGGTAATATCTGGGGTTATACCCGGGAAATAAGATAATTATATACTGTATTGCTGCCACTCTAGACCGACAACCAGAGCCAAATTCCATAGTCTCCTGAGACTGATGGATGACTACTACTACTGTTGCATTTTATTCCATTCCCTGATTTTATTCCTTAGTTTACCTTGACTTAAGTTATTGTTCATGAGTTAATTTACAAAACAGGTAAACACTAGGTAAGGTATAGCTAGAGGTATATAAAGGTATAAATGTTCACAATGGAATGTTTATTTGGAGTTCATGTGGTGTTTCTTAAAATATGTTTAAAATATTTTAATTGTTGTACAATATTAGGTGTCTTCTGATGGCATATTAATTCTCATTTGTGTCAATGTGAAGGTACTGTATGCCCCAGTGAATGATGGAGAGGGATCAAAAGATCCACCCGGATTGTCTAGTGTGGTGCTTGAGGCACCCCTAGAGAAAGAAGTTCCTCTGACTGACCCGTTCCTTGATCCTCGGGAAATCTACCTACGAGAGCTCTTCATGCCAAACCGGTTTTCTATGCACACCCTTCGCAAAGCTCTAGGGGTGAGTATCTCGTGTGTGTAACCTGGGAAAGTTGATTAGATTTACACTGTGATTATGCCGGCTCACTGGATGTATACATTGTATTTGCCTAATTGTGTTTGCAGCGGTTGAGCTTCAGCTATTTGTTCCTGCCTCTTGACCTTCAATCAACTGGTAAGCACCTACTTGTTGTCACATGATGCTTTGCAACTACTGAAGGTTTTGGCATCCACTATCTTCTCACTTGTTCAAACTGTCTGTCACTCTGCAAAAGAGAACTTTCTAATATTTTTTCTGCATCTTTGCTGTCTTTGCTCGAATCTATGACCTTTTTCTTGTAGTTGTAGCGTAAAGATTTCCTCTGTCAATTTTGTTGATTCTTGCTACTATTTTGTTTGTCATGATCATATCTTCTGACTGTATCTCTCTCTTTGAGCTTTGGCAAATTTAACACTACTAATCTTTCCTTGTAGCTCTTGTTCATGTTCTTGTTCTTCCTTGTTCTTGTTTTTCAGTTCTGGAAGCCATTTAGTACATCGTTGCACCTTGTCCAGTTTGTTGATGTGCTGCTTGAAATATGGGAACCACTTGACCACTGCATATTCCAAGTTTGATCTCACGAAAGTCATGAATAATTTTAGTATTTCATATTCCATGTATTTAAAAGTGATTCTGAAGTTGGAAAGTGTTTCTTGCACAATGTCTTACGTGGTCTTCGGGGGAAAGTTTGCAATTCACAACCCTTTCCCCCTAGATCTCTTCCTTTGTCAAAGTTCTTTAAAGCCTTTTCACGTAATTTGTACATTCTGTGTGTCCTATTTTCTCTCCTATTCCACATTTCATAACATGGCATTCATTCATATTGAATTCATCATATTCAATTCATCAATTCATTCATTCATATTGAATTCATCATATTCAATTCATCAATTCATTCATTCATATTGAATTCATCATATTCAATTCATCAATTCATTCATTCATATTGAATTCATCATATTCAATTCATCAATTCATTCATTCATATTGAATTCTGCTTGCCAAGTGTTGCTCCGTACATTTATTTTGTCCAGGTCATCGCGAAGAGCATTGGAGTCGGCAAAGTGGTCTCATCATTCCCGGTAGCTTAGCATCATCGGCAAACATGTTCATATAATTCTGTGTTCCCTCTGGTAGATCATTTATGTAGCCAGTTTGGGAAAGTATGAAAATTCTGTTCTTAAGACAAAAAAAATGTCTAGTTGTGTTAAATTTTGTTTAATAAGTAAAACAGTCACATGTTAATAACACTACTTTAACCCCCCCCCCCCCCTCCTGGACTCCCTGTGGTCTACCCACTCATCATGATGAGTGGGTAGACCTTGATAGAAAATGATGAGTGGTTAGTCCTTGGAATGGGAGTGTTAACTCAAAATGTCTATTCTCATTTTTATTTCAGATTTATCGCCGCAGTGTAGACTTTTCCAGCTTAGCAGACGGGGGTATGTGGAGGCTGAAAGAGGAAGTGGAAGCAGCACTGCGGGACCAGGTGGAGGCCCGCCTTAATGCCAACCTTTCTGAAGAGGAGGTCATGCAAATTACTCTGGAGGCCTGGGCCACTTTTTACTCTCACACCCTGCAGTACCAGCAGGTCTGTCTCCATCTACCTTGGTCTGGGTCTGCACATGAGTTAGCTACTTAGGAATGAGTGCCATGTACACCCCTAGTTGTGCTTCTGGGGGTTGAGTTCTGGCTCTTTGGTCAACCAATATGTAGTTATACATGCCAACCACCTGACAGCGAGGAGCATTTTTAAGTAACAACCGGGTTGTTCCTAGTTCTACAAGTAGTACGGGCTATGTTCTACACAACAGACTACCACCTGCTATAACTTGTGTTATCATCTCCTACTCTTGTTGTGATGAAGTAAGTCTAAAGTATATAGTGGGTGCCAGCAGGTACACCCCACACCGTACATTGGGTGCCAGCAGGTACACCCCACACCGTACATTGGGTGCCAGCAGGTACACCCCACACCGTACATTGGGTGCCAGCAGGTACACCCCACACCGTACATTGGGTGCCAGCAGGTACACCCCAACCGTACATTGGGTGACAGCAGGTAACCCCACACCGTACATTGGTGCCAGCAGGTACACCCCACACCGTACATAGGGTACCAGCAGGTACAAAACATACATTGGGTGCCAGCAGGTACACCCCACACCGTACATTAGGTGCCAGCAGGTACACCCCTTACCGTACGTGGGTGCCAGCAGGTGCACCCCTAACCTACAATAGGTGCCAGCAGGTTAACACCGTACATTGGGTGCCAAGGTACAAAGCAATACCGTGCTTGGGTGCCAGAGGTACACCCCACACCGTACATTAGGTGCCAGCAGGTACTATGACACCTACATTTTGCCAGCAGGTACACCCCACACCGTACATTGGGTGCCAGCATGTACACCCCACACGTACATTAATAAGCAGGTACACCCTTTACCATACATTGGGTGCCAGCAGGTACACCCCACACCGTACATTGGGTGCCAGCAGGTACACCCCACACCGTACATTGGGTGCCAGCAGGTACACCCCACACCGTACATTGGGTGCCAGCAGGTACACCCCACACCGTACATTGGGTGCCAGCAGGTACACCCCACACCGTACATTGGGTGCCAGCAGGTACACCCCACACCGTACATTCATCAGACCTCGGTTTGGTGAATCTCTGGTTGGAAGACACTTTCCACGCTATATTTACTCTTCCGATTTGATGAACAAAAGAGTTTGCTGAAGTAGGGGGATGTGTGGATTTGCTTAAGATATTGGGACCAAGTTTACTGATGGATGCAACAAGAAATAGTTGGGGCCTTCGGAAAGCCACTGAGCATATTTAAAACCAAATTCTATGGCTCTTAAATTTCCAGTTAGAGGTTTTTGTTCAGCAAAACATGTCCAGTTAAACATTTTTTTGATAGTTCAGACATGGACTTCTTTCCTGGGTTCATAGTGGGCAGAGTTTCTTTCACCCTATGCCCCATTTACCTAGCTAAAATTACCTGGGTGTTATCAGCTATACTGCTAGATAAAAAAGCCCCGAAATCATCTCAAGATAACTCAGAAAATTTTTTGCTTAGTAAAATTAGCCAGGATGCACGGGAAATACATCCTGAAGGCATCTCCAGATGCAACGAATTGGTTAGGCCCATGTAGTCCGTTGAATTAAGGTTGTACTGTACATTATTAGTAGATATATTTGGTTGTATCTCTTGTAGCTCCTCATGGCCATTTGGTTGGTATGTATGGCTGACTGCATCATGCATGCCAAATAGATTTCCTCCCCAAACTTATTTATTTTAAACTGTACTGGATTATGTATGTGTATATATTGCCAACTAGTTTGCAAAATATTATGAGTAGATTAATTTCCATAGGAAAACTTGGTTGTTTCACTGTGTTGAATCAGCAGGCTGTAGTATTCAAATTGGCTTGAAGGCTGTTGTTGTTGTTAAACATTCGCTACCTGGAACAAAAAGTTCCAAGTATCACGGGCTATGGTGAGCCCGTAGTATGTTTTTTGGCTTGAAGGCTGCTTTTTCAAACAGCCTAGCTAGCTAGATTGACAACAATAAGGTTTGGCGAAACACCAGGAACTGCCCAACGAATTTCATGAAAGTTGTGAAAAAAGTTATCAAGTGTATAAAAAATTTTTACAACTGAAAACTACCTTTTCTGGGAGGGAGCACTGCAGTGACTTCTTGGAGCTATCTTGCTGAGATTGCCCCATGCTGAATATACATATATGGACCCAAAGGCACAAAATGCAATTTCATGCATCCCTGAAAATGCTGGAATATGTTGAAAAGGGGTTATCTTGAGATGATTTCAGGGCTTTTTTTAGTGTCCCCGCGGCCCGGTCCTCGACCAGGCCTCCACCCCCAGGAAGCAGCCCGTGACAGCTGGCTAACACCCAGGTACCTATTTTACTGCTAGGTAACAGGAGCATAAGGTGAAAGAAATTCTGCCCATTGTTTCTCGCCGGCGCCCGGGATCGACCCTGGGACCACAGGATCACAAGTCCAGCGTGCTGTCCACTCGGCCGACCGGCTGAATACATGCATTTTCCAGACAGAATTCTGGTGCTTGACAAAGCTTGCAGTGAAGTGCCATGATGGTGCCAGTAATTGGCTTACATCAGGGGCTATCTGATGATGCCCTAAACTGTTATCCTGGCCCTATGCGAGGACTTTGCACACAAGTGCGTAAGCATTCTGTGCAAATCAGGCTACAAATCAACTCCAATGCCCTGCTTGTGCACAATCCTACAAATTTGAAGACACTGTGAATTAGTAACTCACAATACTATACTGTACACGCAAAAGTTATGGTGTTGCAAAAAAAAAAAATGATGGCAGGAAATGCAAAAATAGCACTGTTGAAAAACGGTGATGCACTAGACATGCTGAAAGATGATTTTATCAACATTAAGGGGACCAAAATTTTTCAACACACTCCCTCTAAACATAAGTGGTATAACAAGCCAACCTCTCGCCGTGTTCAGAAGAAAACTTGATAAATGCCTCCCATGGATATATGATCAATAAGGCTGTGATTTGTATGTTAGACTTCAAATAGAGGCATCTAATAGCCTGGTTAACCAGGCCACTAATCAGGAGGCCTGGTCAAAGACTGGGCTGTGGGGACATTGATTCCTGGAATCGACAAGAAGTAGACTAGGTAACACCCAGAGTTTGTTGTCTTTCTGAACACCCTGACTCTCGTCACCAGGCAGATGTACATCGCCAAAAATGCAGTTGAATTTTGCACTTCATGACATTCATCGTGTTATTTATTTAATGTGTGTGATATTTATATTGTACCATCCTTTGTATTGTTATATTATTATCTTTCATCCTTTTCTATTCATCAGGTTGGACACAAGCCAGTAGGTATTGTGGGTGTTGGCAGTGATCGCCTGGTTGGGGTGGTAAGGAAGCAAGTGGTGTCGTGGGTGCGGCCCATGGATGCCCTCGAGGTACTGGCTCTGGCATCTCTCAACAGCCTAAATGCAAGCAGTCTGGAGGGCGTGCTCAGTGAAGATTCCGTTGTAACTGCTGCCGTCGTGGCACTGGCCAAGCCTCTACGTTCAGTGAAGGAGATGATACCATTAGAAGTGGCTTCTGCCTTCATCCTTGACCTTCATCACCTTCAATCTCCAGACCAAGTTGGAGCATCCATCACTGCCTCACTCTTGGCTGAAAGTGCTTTGCCTTCAAAAGAGTTGGGACAGCAGCTAGCGAGTGTGTCTGGCCTGGTGGCTGGTTTATGGGCATATCTTCATGCTTTACAGCTGGATATGGGTATGCCAGATGCCCTCACTTTAGAAAATGGCATCAAATCATCACCAGGAAGCTTATCTGGGGCTCTCTCTGGGCGTACAGGGGCAGCCATTGTCAGTGCAGTAGTGGCCCAAGTGGCTAAGGTCAGGCTGGAGTTATGTCGAGACCTGTTACTCCTACAGCAGATGGCATTACACCTGGGTCACAAGTGTCGCCTTACTTCCGATGCAGCTGCTCAGCTGCGCTCTACATTACTGCCAAAGACGGCCCTCCTTACTCAAGCATATTTTGCCCTCTTGCATGTGTCAACAGCACCTGCTATCCAGCCCAGTCAGGCTACATTGGAAGCCGGGAAGCGTCAGCTAGCGGCATTATCCCTCGGCAATGGACCAGGAGTGGTTAGTGCTCTCCCGGTCCCGGGTCACCCTGCCACTGTATTAGAGCTGTTCTTCCTAAGCAGTGGAGGTGATCAAGCTCGTGCACTAGTGGGGCCATCTCTAGATGACGGCAGTGCCGAAGGTTGCTTCAGTGGTGGGTGGGCCGAGTTGCTGATGCCTCTAACCATGACGGTGGCCCAGTTGGCATGGCCCATAAGTCGTTGCCTGGTACTGGTGGAGTGGCTTGTGTGGGGAGGACAACATGGAGCTGTACAGGAGTATGTCAGGCTTCTGCAACCTTGGTGTGAATGGAATAGTTGCTCTAGGAAATTCTTGTTAGGAGTAGCACTTCTCAATCAAGGCGAGGCTACCAAGGCTGCACGCCTCCTCCTGGCTGCCATGGAGGGTGTCATCACTGAAGATTTTCTTGGCATGAAAGTAGCCAATGGAGGGCCAGAGACTCCGTCAGATCAACTGAGAGTGATGTATTGCCTGCGTGTGATTCGTTTACTGGAGCAGAGTGGACAGCCAGCTCTAGCACTGCAAGTGGCCCAAGAAGGAGTGACCATGGCCTCCACCGACCAGGCGTCTATGTCGGCACTCTACTCTGTTGTGTTCAAGCATCACTTGGAATTGCACCATCATGATGAGGCCTTCACTGCTCTCCTGGCTTGTCCTGACCAGCATCGTCGACGCAACTGTCTACGTCAGCTGATTGTATCGCTCCATGACAGAAAGTATGTCCAAGATGATTTTAAATTATCTCAACTAATTTAGCATAAGTACTAAGCAATTGTATACATGGGGGACATCAGATGATAAAGATAATGGAGAAATTTCAGTGTGTGGATATGCTGTAGCTCACATGTTAATGTACATTGTCTGTAAGGCCCCATCTCTCTTCATCCCCCTCCCCTTGGTCTTCCACTTCATCCCTCCTTCCCTTGATACCCCACTTCATCTCTCCCATTTCTCATCCCCCTCTTTTCCCCCCTCTCTCTCCCTCTCTCTTTTTGTTTCCCCCCTCTCACCCTTGTCTCAGAAAATGTATTAAGTAGAACTGAAACAACTCCTTGTACTGTATCTCTCGGGGAAACTTTATTAGGAAGCAATGGAAAAACTCTAGGGGGAACATAACCACATATTTCACACACAACTATGAAAATCACATGGGAGTCTTGGTAAATGCTAATATTTCTTCAAATATTTAATTTAGGCTGGCTCTGACCAGCCTAAGTCTATCCTGTATCCCCAAACCATTTTCCCCTTCCTAGTTGGGTGAGGCTAGACCCATTTGTCTGGCTTCTGCACTTGAATATACACACACATTCTCTTGTGTGTATGGATAGACCTGTGTTAGGGTGTTTTCTTACTGAATTTGCTATTATAGCTTTGAGGATCATTCCCACAATTGACATCAGGCTACTTGGATGTTATTTTGTAGGCGGAGGAGACTGTTACTGTGTTCATTAATTTATTGAATTCAGTATTCTTATTAGGGAGTCATCCTTTGACAATACATATTTAATTCTGGTTATTGAAGTGTAATAGTTGTCTAGTCTCTTCACTTGAAACCAATAACCCTACACTCATTCATTTCCAACATTTCCTGTATTTTATGTTAACATTGTCAAAGTGTTCGCCGTTGTTGTTTTTTATCGAATACGTCACAATGCCGGTAGTATGGACACAAATTATACCAGTACCATTGCAGTATTGCAAACACAGGTTAAATACCACCAATGAGAATTTCAGCAAGTAAGGAAGATTGGATCTCTACAGTATCTCACTTGCAGGTGCCTGACAACATTGGTGAGCTACCAGTACGGCAGTTTGGAGTCGGACGTGATCACCATCTTGGAGAATCGTGCCCGGTCGGCAGATATTCTCATCAACAACTACTATGACTTGCTCTATGCCTTCCACATCAGCAAACACAATTATAAGAAAGGTAACATTCTTCTCAAGTACTTTGTGATTGATGACTACAAATTATATCTTGGTGTATGTGGGCACGTTTGTGACTGGTGACTGTGAAGGATAACTTGGTGTGTGTCCACGTTTGTGACTGGTGACTGTGAAGGATAACTTGGTGTGTGTCCATGTTTGTGACTGGTGACTGTGAAGGATAACTTGGTGTGTGTCCATGTTTGTGACTGTGAAGACTGTCTGATACTTGTTGTTACGGAGGACCTTAAGACAGTGTTATGAACTTGAAGTTCTGCCATGCTTTTAGTGTAGTGAATTGCTGTTTTCAGGGTCTTGAAAGCAATAGGTATATAGCAGTTATTAATACTGAATTGTCACCACACCTTCTCGGTTTTGAGTGCTGCACTGCCTAAAACTTTGATTTTGTTTAAAGGAAAATGTGATTTGTAACATCTTTGTCCAAACTTAATTTGTATTTTTTTTGCAAACTTATAGCTGTAGAGTGCATTGGAAATGTTATGCAACAATTTTTTTTTTTTTTTTTTTTTTTTGCAGCTGCATGTGTGATGTACGAGTGTGCTCTGCGACTCAATATTGAAGGTGTAGGGGAAAAGGGTCTTCGACAGCAGGCCAAATGTTATCTAGCGTGCCTCAACTGCTTACGACACATTCCACCTGAGCAGGCATGGATACTTAAGCCTCTTCCCAAACCGACACACGACCAAATTGAAGATGAACATGAAAGCCCCGTGACTGGTAAGTTTTTATGCTGGGGGAATGAGTGTAATATTTAGATACCGGTGTTAATTAAATATTGTTATGCAAGATATGGAGAAAATACATTATTTTGAATAACTTCTTAAGTTTATTTCCCTGTAGCATTTAACATTTTGTATTTGTAATGATGTTAACTTGTGATAATAGATGGCGTGAGTCCTAAACGCAACAGTGATGGTGCATCAGTCGCTCCTCCAGTTTCTCGACGGCGTCCACAGGTGAAAGTGCTGGAGCTGATGCACATAGAGCGAGAGTATGAGTTGGTTCATGCCAGGCTGAAGATGGTCAAAACGCAACCAGATATTCCATCATCGGGTGAGTTTCATGCTTTCTGGGTATAAATTTGATAGTTTTTCGTTCAAGTTGAGCAAAACGACCAAATTCAATATGTTATTAGTGCTGAGGTTGTGTGATGGATATCTTATTCTGTTTTAGACACTAAATCAAGTTCTTAGTGTAATTGTTGTTGGGGACAAGAAGCTTGTGTGTGTGTATATATAATATATATAGTGTGAACAAGCTTGAATGGTCCCCAAGCCAATATGCAACTGAAATCCTTCTGGGGTGTGGAGTTTTCAGTAATATATAAAATATATATTTACTGCATAATTTCCCTGTCTTGTATTGTGGTCCTAACCCTTTCCCCTCTCCCCCAAGGTCAACTATTGACCTTTCCCAGGATGCAACCCCACAACACTTGCCTAACTCCTGAGTACTTACTGTTAGGTGAACAGAGGCATTAAGTGAAAGGGAAATTGCCCAACCATTTGTGTCCAGTTTGGGAATTGAACCTGGGATTCTCGGTGGGTTGTGAAAAACAAATAATAATAATAATAATAATTTTTATTTAGGTAAGGTACATACATAAAGAGATTTTACAAAGTTTGTTGGCTTTATAGATAGAGCTAGTACATACAATGCCTAAAGCCACTATTACGCAAAGCGTTTCGGGCAGGTAATCCCTTCCCCAAATGTATCCCTTTGATTGTTTTGCTAAGCTATTTGAGTGTCTGCTAGAGTTTGTCAGCATCATCGCCTGTGTTAATACTCTTCCCAGTCTCTCTAGTGCATGCTCAGGCAGTGGGGCTTCTTTACATATTCTTGTTTTTTCCAAATAAGCAAGCTTGGAGGTAGCGAAGTCTTTTACGTTGAGTATTACATGTATACGAACATTCGGTACCAGTGCCCACATTCCCACATATACCAGGTAGGGAATTATCCACTCGGAGAACAAAGGTGACAAATATAATGAAATAAGCTTATAGATATGGCAAAAAAATATATATTGCTCTCCCACTTGTTTCACCATACAAAGCGTTCGCAAAAAAGTCAGTAGGTCTTTTTTTTTTTTTTTTTTTTTTGTAGCTGACATTGTATCTTTATATATAAATATAAAGACTTGATTCAACTTGAAAATTTAGGGTTGGTAAAAAACTTGATCCAAGGCTCAAGGATTGGAGCCAGAGTCGATTGACGGCTACCCAACACTTCAGCCTCAGAATTTGGGTTGGGTTGCCGGTGCGGGAGGTCTAGGCCCCCCCCTTCCCCCCCCCCCTCCCAGGAAAGGGGGAGCTGCGCAGACAACGGCGCGGTGGCTTTGGTGGTGATGTGCTTATTTGCTTGTTTTCTGATTGGAGATTTCCGCTTGCTCGTTCGGCTTTCGGTTTGCAATTTTTAACCAACTGTACTTTGTTTTGGGATTCCTACCTTTCTGGGTGGCTGACCTGGTAGTCAGCAGACATAGAGGGGGTCAAGTTCTGGCTCGTGGTCCCCGATTGGCTAAGAACTCTATCGATTGACTCTTACCACAGTAATATATACACATCAGTCCGGTATAGATCCAGGAAGCTCCAAGTCTCGCTCAGAAAATGGTGTTTCATTACATTCAACTTTTTTTTTTTTTTTTTTTTTTTTTTTTTTTTTTTTTTAGAGAGCAGGGTTGGTAAGAGTTCTAACAGAAAAACATTGATGACATTAAATTATAATTTTGACAATGCAGTTTCCCAATCAATGCAGTCATACCCTGAGTCACTGGAGAAAGACTGAAAAGTTATTGGAGATTTAAATGTAATAAGTGTGGACAGATGGAAAGAGAATTTAGTAAGAGTTGTACAAAATTTCAAAGTAGGGTTGATGATTTAAGTAGACAGACAAGTATGAACATGCACACATCTTTCAGGAGGTCCACTGAGTGCTGCCGACACCATCAGCTTGCTGACCCACGGAAGACTGTTCCGGGAGGCTGTGCGTCTTGCTAGGCTATTTGAGCATCCTGTGGCACCTGTCCTGAAAGGGTTGGCCCATGCGTGTCTACATCCTCACGTTCCACGTAACGCCGTCGGCAACTCTCAAGAGGAAAATGGCATAGTCAGTGAGTACTGTGTCTCGGGAATTGATCATGTGTGGATATTTTCGGACTTGACACACTTTTACTGTGCAGCAGTGACAATGAATGGTACTAAGTGAAAGTTGTGTGTGAGTAGAAAATGAAATGTTTAGCAATTTTTGTTTTCTTTCAAACTGATTTTTAATTTTTAATACACAGATGGGTAGAGAAGATGACTTCTAAACTCTTGTTAGCAGGCTCAGAGCTTATCATTCCCACTACTTTTCCTGGAATATGATCTTTCAGTCAGTTTGCAGAAAAGATACTAATTATGGCTGGGCAATAAGTCTTGTACTAGAAGTAAAAGAAATTACATGTGAATTTTCAAACAATATACTATAGTGCTGTTTCCAAACTTGGTGGCAGCAAGTACTGGGTTCAGGTGCCAGTTTTAAAAGGTCAAACATTACATACTTGGTTAACCAGAGGTAGTACATACAATACCTAAAGCCACTAATACGCATAGCGTTTTGGGCAAACGTCTAATGAAACGGGTAAATTTGTTTAAATAATACACCTAAATTCACAGGAGAATTTAGTTATTTCGTGTACATTTGAGCACATTATTTCAGAATTCTACATTATAAAGCATCATTTGCATTTCTAGGAGAGAGTAACGAGTGTGAAAAATGGTGGTGTCTACTAAAGGAATTGTTGGAGGAAGAGGAGCGTGCTAACCAGTCGGTGCTCCATCATGCAGTAGCGTCGGTGCTTCTCCAGAACACTGCCGCACTTCCCTCGTGGCTCGTCAACTCCTACAAGGTACACAACAGTTATTGTATCTTGTCATACTACAGTACTGCTGTTTATTTTTTATGGCAGGTCTTTGTCTTTCACATGTTGCTTCTTGTTACCCTCGAGACACTTGAGTACCGCATGTGACCTGATGTAGGTCAGCAGCCAGGGAATTGTATTTTGCCAGATTTATATAGCCGAGACATTGCCCAGTGTTCAGTACTAAGACGGTGCTAATGATTACATCTTAATCTCTCTCTGTAAAGTCAAGTGCCATATGATCTGTCTTCCCTCGCTATTACTACCACCATAGTTCACCACACTACAGTCATCACCACCTACACAACCATAGCTACAAACACTGCAACCAATATAATGGCATACAATAACCACTACTACTGTACACAACTGTACACAACCAATATAACCATTGTTGCAACCACTGATGCAGGCATTAAAACCACCACCACAAACACACACACCACCACTTCAGCTACATTTATCACAATCACAACTTGAACTACTCAGTCACCACAATACATAAGACAACCACAGTCAACACATCTGCAACTACCACCACCTTAAGTACCTTTACACCACAACCACCACACCTACCATAGCTCCAATTATTAACAAGACCACCACCAACCTGTGCACATAATCGCAGCCTGTACTCGGCACGCCGGCCCGTACGCTGCACACCAGCCCGTACACATTATACTTGCTGAACTCCTCACATTATGCTGCCATCACTGCATCCTCTGTACTCTTTACATCACTCCTTTTGTGTTCCGAGGATACTTTTCTTGATTACTCTCCTGCCATCCATACTTATGTTGTTGGACACCCAACACACATGTTTGAAAACAAAGAAGTGACAGTGTTTCAAACAAAATTTAATGATGGTTCAGGATGGCCCGAAACCTCAGAACTATTTTCAGATGTGTGAGTCGGGTGTCTAATTTTCAGTCATGTTATTGTGACACTATCTATTTATTGCTATAAGTAATGGAGTTCATAATCCAGAAAGTATGTCTGTGAATTTTGGCAATGTTATATAAATGACTTGCATGAACAAGTATTTCCTTGTTACACAGATTCGCAATTGTGGAGAGTTACTGCAGCTGTACGTGAGCCACGGGCTGTTGGAGGAGGCGGTGAAGACAGCTTGTCAGTACATTGATGGTGTTTTGGGTCATGGTACAAAGCAGGTGAGTCAAAGTTCACTGTGTTGTGAAGAATGTCAGAGGTTGGAGATATGATAAGGCTAACTTGATGGTACACTACATGGCTGTAGGGTTTACATGACCTGGTGAAGTTTTACGTATAGAGTTCTCGGGTGAAAGAAACCCCCCCTTATCCCCCACAAGAAGTTGCTGTGTTGCTGCTTCAAGCTATCTTCTGTCTTCATTCGTGGCAACAAATGTACTGAACTCCCAATGCAAAATGTACCGTGGCCTGTCTTTGTATCGTACTGTAGTTGGCTTTGGACTTCACAATGTGCATGTACCATGGGGTCTATTGCTGTGATATCTCACAAGTAAAAGTTTGTGTTTCTTACTACAGTGTCCCAATTATTATTAATATCAGCTCCTGCATTCAAGACACTTGGATCAGGAACTTGTATTGCTAACCATAATGACAGTGCAGTGTAGACCTGCCCTGGCACTCGGTGTGTTTGTGTGTGCATGAACGCAGCTCCTTTACACAGAAAGTGACATCATGTCATACCGTGACATCATGTCATACCGTGACATCATGTCATACCGTGACATCATGTCATACCGTGACATCATGTCATACCGTGACATCATGTCATACCGTGACATCATGTCATACCGTGACATCATGTCATACCGTGACATCATGTCATACCGTGACATCATGTCATACCGTGACATCATGTCATACCGTGACACATGTGACAACTGGTCACCTACCAGGGTGTTGTGCAACCCGTTCTCGCAAATTTAATAAGTCAATATTGACTTATTAAATATGTGCATAGGTGACATACTTAACATAATAGATACCCTTAAAAAGATTCATAGAAAACACCGACCTTTCCTAACCTACTTAGTATGTTAAGATAAGCATCTTATTGCTTCGTAATTACAATTATTACCTAACCTATAATAGGTATAGGTTAAGTAATAATTGTAATTACGAAGCAATAAGATGCTTATCTTAAGATACTAACAAGGTTAGGTAAGGTTGGTGTTTTCTATGAAGCTTTTTAAGGGTATCTATTATGTTTAGTATATCACCTATGCACGTAGTTAATAAGTCAATATTGACTTTACGAATTTGCGAGAACGGGTTGTGTTGTGTTATCTCTCTGTATTATGTACTTCAAAGTGGCGGCCACAATGATAGGTAATCATTGTGATAGAATATTTTCACGTGTGTCACTGTGCACACTTGCGAGCGCCTGTACCTCAAGTGTGTTCTGCATAGCCACCCAGTTTAGGCCTTAAAGCGAACAAATTGCATATGGGTGTGGTCGACCTAATGTGCATGTTTTGTGGTTGCAAGATGAACGCAGACGCCACAGCTATGAGTATCTTGTTCATAGATTTTTGTTATACATGCCACATGTATTGTGAACACTGCTATCCTCTTTCATCTAAATTTGTTCAATAATTTATTGATTGCATTTTTCATGTTGTGTATATACTGTACATTTACTCTTCTGTAGTGTTATTTTACAGTGAACGTGAAGCGCTGCTCGGTGGTCAAGCCAGTGTGTGTGTGGGGGACACGTATCTTTGTCAGCCCAGTCAAATAATACAGCCATTGATGCCTTTTTCCTGTATTGGATTATTTATTTAATTCTTGAGTTAATTTAGGCAGTGGTCATTAATCTGGTCATTACCCTGATGAAATTTAGCACCGTTATACTTGTGAAATTGACATACTGTCCTGTTTCCCTGTATGTGGATCCTCTGGTAGGTTAGGATGAGGGCACTTTAGTACCATAGTTTCTGGACGTTGGAAAATTGTTGTGAGAACTGGGTGAATGTATACTATACAACAACATGCAGTACTGTATGCCTCTAAGTCTCATGATTCACTCCGCACATGTGTATCATGTCAAGACGTCTTTTTCAGTATGCCGGCTGTTATTTTTGTCAACCACAGTTTCAGTTAAAGGGCATTGAATAGGCTTCATTCATTTTGCCATTTACATATCAAATAATCATTGCACAGGTGTGCACTGATTATCTTTTTTCTAAAAGGCATTGATAACAGGAATTGAATATTTGTCCATCTCTTGTCAGCTGAACTCCTCCTATCTAACAACATTAGGATGGTACAATAGGAGAGCTTGCCTCATGTCCCAGGCCTCTTCAGCTACATTCATCTGGGCTCTAGGATACTCGAACTGTGGACCCTACGTGTGTGTGAGGCCCAAGCTCTATCAACCGAGCTATTGAGCACTTTTTCCACGGAAGTGTGGACTCCAACCGTGTTTCATCTCGTGAGCGTACATATTTGTAGAGTGACCTTGTATCATGTTCTCAGTTAATTGATCAGGGGCCAGATTCACGAAAGCACTTACGAACCTGTACATCTTTTCTCAATCTTTGGCAGCTTTGTTTACAATTATTAAACAGTTAATGACCTCCGAAGCACCAGGAGGCTGTTTATAACAATAACAACAGTTAAATGGGACGTTTTCATGCTTGTAAACTGTTTAATAAATGTAACCAAAGCCGTCAAAGATTTAGGAAAGATGTAAACGTTCGTAAGTGCTTGCGTAAGTCCTTTCGTGAATCTGGCCCCTGATCACTGGATGGGTAATGTTGCATTCAGCAAGCAGATTACAAGTGGATTGTGCTACAGGTGGGAAATATAAGTTGTATTTTGCAGGTGGGTTTGAGTAGTGGTCTTCATGCTGCCTCGCCGCCAGTGTGGCTGCCTTACACTGCCCTTGACAAGCTGCTGCTAGAGATGAGAGAGGTGCAGCAGAGCAAATATTTCTCAAAGGTATGGTAAAAATGCATGAATACAGTCATACAACCACAGTGGAGTTAACAAATGTAATACTGCATGCAATCTTCCAAAGTGGATGCCAGATAACTGGGAAAGAGACAAGGACGTCGGAGCAATGGCGGTGTGGCTCTGTTTCTTCAGCTACATTCGGGGGTTTCAATATGTGCTAGTGACAGGCAATCAATAGGACTACATGTTATCTTGTTATCTTGAGGTTATCTTGAGATGATTTCGGGGCTTTAGTGTCCCCACGGCCTGGTCCTCGACCAGGCCTCCACCCCCAGGAAGCAGCCCGTGACAGCTGACTAACACCCAGGTACCTATTTTACTGCTAGGTAACAGGGGCATAGGGTGAAAGAAACTGCCCATTGTTTCTCGCTGGCGCCCAGGATCGAACCCGGGGCCACAGGATCACAAGTCCAGTGTGTTGTCCGCTCGGCTCCTTAAACAAACATTCTAATATGCCACTAGTACACCTGTTAGGTGTACTAGTGCTAGTACACCTGTTAGGTGTACTAGTGCTAGTACACCTGTTAGGTGTACTAGTGTCTTATAAGGCACTAGTCGAGCCTGGCCTCGGGTCAGGCTTGCAGAATAGAAGAAAAAACTCCCAACACCCTCCCTGGGCATGCAATTGGTCTGTGTATGTACACTGGTCCTCGTCGTTATTATAAGTACTACCTAAACAGGAGGATGGGCTGGACACACAGCTATAACTGTAGCTTGAATTCATAAATGCATTGAACATCATTACATCATTGTGGGGGATTTCTTATTACTAAACCACAATTTGTGAAAAACAAGACTTGGACAAACTACCTTAAAATTCTCAGAGGAATTGACAGGGTAGATAAAAATTTACTGTTTAACATGGGTGGTACATGAACAAGGGAACACAGGTGGAAACTGAGTACCCACATGAGCCACAGAGACGTTAGAAAGAACTTTTTCAGTGTCAGAGTAGTTAACAGGTGGAATGCATTAGGCAGTGATGTGGTGGAGGCTGACTCCATACACAGTTTATAATGTAGATATGATAGAGCCCAATAGGCTCAGGAATCTGAACACCAGTTGATTGACAGTTGAGAGGCAGGACCAAAGAGCCAGAGCTCAACCCTTGCAAGCACAACTAGGTGACTACAAAGGAGTTTTATTTTAGTGAAGTTCCACTATAAAGTATGCAAACTAACATTATTTAATTTGTCGGTATATTTTACTTTTTTTAAATGTTCATTGAAAGTTCTAGCCCTTTCAATTGGAAAATGTTTAGTGTATTTGCATTATTAAATACAGTACTGATAATATTTTTTTCCACAGTTGTCAGATCAACTAAATCACCGGCTGAAGGTGTATCGTCAAGAACTGGAGCAAGTATCACAGAACAGAGTCACTTTACTACTAGCGTGATGTTCTCGTCATCCATGAGTGCAAGCTGTAGTTTGAATAGCATAATGAACACCGAACCCCCACGCGGTACAGCTGGGACGTCATCTGAACGTGGCCGTGTGAAGGCTACAAGCATCTCCCTAATAGCGCTGTGGTTATTTATGCTTTCTATATTTAGATTTACTGTTGTACAATGATTCAGTTCTGAACTGATCTGTTCAAGAGGATTTCATTATAAATTACAGTGTATGAATGAGTTGGTGATATTCGTAGTGTATGAATCGGGGGCCAGGTCGAGCTCGGAATAGAAGAACTCCCAAAACCCTCTCCAGGTATGAATATCATCATTAGTTCCACATTTAATGTCAAAGTGCAAAGCATGAATATGTCAGTAAAACCTAACAAAGAGTTTGGCAAATAAACTATGTATGCAGTATTCTTCTTGCAAGGTTGAAATTAAAGTATATTTTTCATTGTCTTCAAGCAGAATGTTTGTAAATACAATATACACGTTCAGTAGGAGGTTGATGAACCTTTAGGGATGTGTTGCCGGCTTGGTGCCTGCCGCCGTGAAGAAGACAACTGAAGTTAGAGTACAGTAAGTTTGTTTTGTAACATTTTTATCATTACTCCACTTCATTTAATTGAATGAGATGGATCGTGCTATAAATGGTTTTGTAAATGCTGTGTATTTACAGTTTTTTTAATAAATTTAATTATTGTATAAAACGTTAATTGTTTAACTTGACAAATTATCATTTATTGATTCATATGCCTCGTGGTGATTTTTGTGTGTTCCATGTGATCGGCACAGTATAGCTTTGTAAATCTGTGTTAGATTCACAGGCATATTGCTAAACGTAATAGTTACAGGAAATTGGAGTAGAGCGAGATGTCGTCTGGTTCCTGGAACAGTTGGGGCCAGAGGCTGTGTAACCAAGTGGTTTGTGTTGCAAGTGAAGACCATCATTGCATCTCGAGTTCATCCAACATTTATATAATGTTTGGTGTAACTGACATGTATTGTATTTGTTTAAAACATTTACAGTGACATTATACAGTACTGGGTACTGAGTGCTCCAAATGGGGGATGGGGTTTTGGAAGCTGTTTTCATAATGATTCTGTCCAGACAAGATTCTACACTCCATTCACTTGGGCTCTAGGAGACATGAATTGTGGGCCCCATATGTATGTGTGTGTGTGTGAGGCGCAAGCTCTATTTTTATACGATTCTACGTTACTTGCAGCGAGCAAAGGAAGACATTTGGGGGCCTGACAGCCGAGTGGACAACACTTCGGATTCGTAGTCCTGAGGTTCCTGGTTCGATCCCCAGTGGAAGTGGAAACAAATGGGCAGAGTTTCTTTCACACTGATGCCCTTCTATACCTAGCAGTAAATAGGTACCTGGGTGTTAGACAGCTGCTACGGGCTGCTTCCTGGGGTGTGTGTTACAAAAAGGAGGCCTGGTCGAGGACCGGGCCGCGGGGACGCTAAGCCCCGAAATCATCTAAAGATAACCATTTAGCACTGGCAGGTCAGTTCTGGACTGTTGGTTGTGTCTGGTTCCTCAGGCTGGAGTATACCTCGGTGTCAGGTTATCTTGAGGTTATCTTGAGATGATTTCGGGGCTTTCAGTGTCCCCGCGGCCCGGTCCTCGACCAGGCCTCCACCCCCAGGAAGCAGCCCGTGACAGCTGACTGTCACAGTACTGTGTAGACGAAAGTATTATTTGAAACTCTGCCAAATTAATCTAGTCTTGTATGGGCCAATTGTTCTTGTGCAGCTTCTGTTATTTCTATATAATACTGGGTTTGAGTGTGATACTACATGCACTGTTTGAACTGAAGGCCAGAGATGAGATCTGCTCACAAGGAGAATATAAGTGGGTGGATATGGAGAGCTAACTTCCCAAGCCTTATTTTTATTCTTATCAACCTTTGGCGGTAAATTAGTCGCAGTAAATTAGTCGTATGTAGTTACTTGATGCAGCTTTATTAAATACTCACATGTGTTTTAAGTGTAGTTAAATAAATCACTATGTACTTGTTAGTGTTGTACCTGCAGTCAAGTTCAAGAGGGTGTTGCTTCCAAATCGCGACCTGGAGCCAGTAGAACAGTATGTGTTGATAAGAGAGCATTTACTGTTTTTATTCACGTGTTGGGCTATGTAAGATTAGGTTACGGTGAGGGTGGTAATATCTCAATGATTTGGAAAGTAAAAGAATGAAAGTTGACCAAGAGAAAACTAGTAAATTAAGTTCAAAAGAGTGGATGGTGATCTTAAAAGATTGACAGTTTTCTGTAATCAATTTAGTAATTGTTTTAGTTTTCAGTAATTGGCATATTTTTGGTATGAAACGTCGTAATTTGAAACTGAAAATAGGTGCAGAGAGTCAGAATTAGGCTCAAAAATCACGCTCAGGAGTCAAATTTCCGACATTTCGGACATTTTGAAAACTGCAGGGGGGTTTGGGCAAAATATGACCCATCGCCGTTTACAGTAATTGGCATATTTTCGGTATGAAACGTCGTAATTTGAAACTGAAAATAGGCGCAGAGAGTCAGAATACGGCTCAAAAATCACGCTCAGGAGTCAAATTTCCGACATTTCAGACATTTTGAAAACTGATGGGGGTTTGGGCAAAATATGACCCATCGCCGTTTACAGTAATTGGCATATTTTTGGTATGAAACGTCGTAATTTGAAACTGAAAATGGGTGCAGAGTCAGAATTCGGCTCAAAAATCACGCTCAGGAGTCAAATTTCCGACATTTCAGACATTTTGAAAACTGCAGGGGGTTTTGTGCAAAATATGACCCATCGCCGTTTTCAGTAATTGGCATATTTTCAGTATGAAACGTCGTAATTTGAAACTGAAAATAGGTGCAGAGAGTCAGAATTCGGCTCAAAAATCACGATCAGGAGTCAAATTTCCGACATTTCAGACATTTTGAAAACTGCAGGGGGGTTTGGGCAAAATATGACCCATCGCCGTTTACAATAATTAGCATATTTTCGGTATGAAACGTCGTAATTTGAATCTGAAAATAGGCGCAGAGAGTCAGAATTCGGCTCAAAAATCACGCTCAGGAGTCAAATTTCCGACATTTCAGACATTTTGAAAACTGCAGGGGGGTTTGGGCAAAATATGACCCATCACCGTTTACAGTAATTGGCATATTTTCGGTATGAAACGTCGTAATTTGAATCTGAAAATAGGCGCAGAGAGTCAGAATTCGGCTCAAAAATCACGCTCAGGAGTCAAATTTCCGACATTTCAGACATTTTGAAAACTGCAGGGGGGTTTGGGCAAAATATGACCCATCGCCGTTTTCAGTAATTGACATATTTTCGGTATGAAACGTCGTAATTTGAAACTGAAAATAGGTGGAACTTAACAATATTGTTAAGAGGAACTTAACAATATGCCTTCAGCTGAACAAGTCTCTGTGGGTGGGGACGAGGACAGGTTGACGAGTTTAGCAGTTACCAGGGAGGATGTTCTTAAACAAATAGTAAAACTCAAACCAAACAAATCCCCAGGGCCGGATGAAGTGTTTGCCAGGGTGCTTAAAGAATGCAAAGAGGAGCTTTGTGACCCACTGTCAACCATATTTAATAAATCAATAGAGTCAGGCAGAGTGCCAGAGTTTTGGAAAGTTGCTAATGTGATACCAGTTTTTAAGAAAGGAGATAGATCACTTGCGTCTAACTATCGACCAATTAGCCTAACGTCTATTGTGGGAAAGTTACTCGAATCTATAATAGCAAATAAAATTCGTCTTCATCTTGAAAAACATAAATTAATAATTGAGTCTCAACATGGTTTTATAAATGGCCGTTCATGTTTAACAAATTTATCTTTTTATTCTAGCATTGTTGAGGCAGTTGATAGTGGTAAGGATTGCGATGTTGTATACCTTGACTTTAGCAAAGCTTTTGATACAGTGCCACATGAAAGACTGATTAAAAAGATAGAGTCTCATGGTATTGGGGGTGCTATATTAAGCTGGATTAGGGCATGGCTATACCAAAGGAAACAGAGAGTTAGTATAAATGGAATCAAGTCAGAGTGGGAAAATGTTGTAAGTGGAGTGCCTCAAGGCTCTGTCCTGGGACCTCTGTTGTTTATAATATATATAAATGATTTAGATTCAGGTTTGAGTAGCAACATTTGCAAATTTGCCGATGATACGAAAATCGGTAGGGAAATTAATTCGGAGGAGGACTCACTATCACTTCAAGTTGATCTAGATAGGGTTTTGAAATGGTCAAAGGATTGGCAGATGCAGTTTAATGCTGATAAATGTAAAGTTCTGAGGTTAGGTAATGATGATAGAGTTACAAGATACGAGCTAGATGGTGTTGTGATTGCGAAGTCGGATTGCGAAAGGGATCTGGGAGTTATGATTAGTAAGAATTTAAAACAAAAGGATCAATGCATAAATGTTCGTAATAAGGCAAATCGGACACTTGGATTTATTAATCGCAGCGTTAGTAACAAGACACCTGGTGTGGTTCTCAAGCTATATCTTGCTCTAGTTAGGCCCCATTTAGATTATGCAGTTCAGTTTTGGTCGCCATATTATAGAATGGATATAAATTCACTTGAACGTGTCCAGCGTAGGATGACTAAGTTAATTCCCCAAATTAGAAATCTTTCATATGAAGAAAGATTAACAAAGCTTAAGTTGCATTCACTGGAAAGGCGAAGAGTTAGGGGCGACATGATAGAGGTTTACAAGTGGGTGAATGGACATAACAAGGGGGATATTAATAGGGTATTAAAAGTATCAACACAGGACAGAACACGAAACAATGGGTATAAATTGGATAAGTTTAGATTTAGGAAAGACTTGGGTAAATACTGGTTCAGTAACAGGGTTGTTGATTTGTGGAACCAATTGCCGCGTAACGTGGTGGAGGTGGGGTCCCTCGATTGTTTCAAGCGCGGATTGGACAAGTATATGAGTGGGATTGGGTGGTTATAGAATAGGAGCTGCCTCGAATGGGCCAATAGGCCTTCTGCAGTTACCTTTGTTCTTAGGTGCAGAGAGTCAGAATTCGGCTCAAAAATCACGCTCAGGAGTCAAATTTCCGACATTTCAGACATTTTGTAAACTGCAGGGGGGTTTGGGCAAAATATGACCCATAGCCGTTTTCAGTAATTGGCATATTTTCGGTATGAAACGTCGTAATTTGAAACTGAAAATAGGTGCAGAGAGTCAGAATTCGGCTCAAAAATCACGCTCAGGAGTCAAATTTCCGACATTTCAGACATTTTGAAAACTGCAGGGGGGTTTGGGCAAAATATGACCCATCGCCGTTTACAGTAATTGGCATATTTTCGGTATGAAACGTCGTAATTTGAATCTGAAAATAGGCGCAGAGAGTCAGAATTCGGCTCAAAAATCACGCTCAGGAGTCAAATTTCCGACATTTCGGACATTTTGAAAACTGCAGGGGGGTTTGGGCAAAATATGACCCATCGCCGTTTTCAGTAATTGGCATATTTTCGGTATGAAACGTCGTAATTTGAAACTGAAAATAGGTGCAGAGAGTCAGAATTCGGCTCAAAAATCACGCTCAGGAGTCAAATTTCCGACATTTCAGACATTTTGTAAACTGCAGGGGGGTTTGGGCAAAATATGACCCATCGCCGTTTTCAGTAATTGGCATATTTTCGGTATGAAACGTCGTAATTTGAATCTGAAAATAGGCGCAGA